GCTCAGGCCCTCGGGGAGCCTGAAGCCTCAGCACCAGTGGCCTTATCATTTCCACATGAAGCAGAGGAGAGAGCTTTGCAGAAGGTGAGTGGGGTTGTATTTGTGGTGCTGGGGATCACCCAGGGAGATAATGAAGACACATCTGCAGCTAGAGACAGACACTTGGGAGCCATTTATATACAAGACTGAGATGATTTGGAGTGGATGAGATTGTGTGGAGAGTTGAGAAAAGGAAGAAGAAAACCCTGGGGGACATTTAAGGACATAGAGAGGCGCCTGCGCAGGAGTCAGAGAGAGAATGTGTGGTCAGAGGACCAGAAGCGATCCCAGGGGCATGGCTCAGGCAGGAAGAGGAACATTTCAGGAAGCCGGAGTGGCCACCAGTGTGGACTGTGGTAGAAACAGAGGGGAGGAGATCAGGGAAATGAAAGGTCCCAGGTGACTTGCAAACGCAGCCCTGTGGGATGCTGAGGACAGAGGTCCTGAAAAGAGTGTGGGAAGCAAGGCAAGATGGGTGGCAAGAGCCCAGCTTGAGAGGGAGAATGGACTAGAGCTGGAGATTTTGGGTAGGAAGCAGGAATGAGGCTTTCTAAGGATGNTCTCAGGTGGCAGAGGAAGATGTAGGAAGGGCTGGGCTGGCAACCTGTCCCACCGCGGCTGGGAGAGGCTGGGACGAGCCACAGCTGACTCCAGGGTCTCTGGGAGCAAGGACAGCCTCATGGGAGGAAACACATCCTCTGGCACCACCTGCTGGCCATACTGGACTACAGCCCTCTTGCTGCAGGGAGAACGTGTATTCTGGATTCTCTGTTAGGTTTTCTGAATTTAAAAAAAAAAAAAGACAAAAACCAGACATCTCAGAAAGTACCTTTAATTAATGTTGAATAAATAAATAAAATAAGATTGTAACTTATTGTAGAGTATCATTTATTTTTCATTCTTAACAGTAAAAAGATGCCTTTGCCCCCAAGATGAGATATTTTCTTCATTCATTCATTTATTCTTTTGATCATTCACCAGACTTTTAGTGATTTCCTTTTGTATTCCAGCCTCTGTGCTAAAAAAGTTTAATTATGCTTCAATAAATAAGCTTATTAAGTAAATAACTAAATAACAAAAATGTGAACTTATTTTGTTCCCCAAGTGAAGCTGAACTATATGGTTTAAATTTGTTGATGTTTGTTTTGTGGCCCAGGATGCTTGCAAAGGGTGTGCATTCTGCTATTGTTGGGTGGGGTGTTCTACGCGTGTTGATTATACTCTGTTGGTTGGTGGCGTTGTTGCCTTCTTCTATATCCATGCTGTCTAGTTCTACCAGTTGTTGACAGGATAGTATTGAGGTGTCAAACTGTAATAGTGTATTTATTTATCCTTTCAGTTCTGTCAGTTTTTTTATCAATAGACTTTCTAAAAGAAGTTTTAGACTTATAGAAATAGTAAGTATATAGAACCCCATTTTCCCTATTATTAACATCTTACATTAATATGGTATATTTGTAACAACTAATGAACCTACATTCGAACATTATTATGAATTAAAGTCCAAAGTTTACTCACATTTCCTTAGTTTTTATTTAATGTCCTTTTTCTTTCCAGAATTCCATCCAGGATACCATATTATATTGAGTTATCATGTTTCCACAGGTTTGTTCCCTCTTGGTTGTGACATTTTCTCAGACGCTCCTTGTTTTTTATCCCAAGTAATAAAGATAGTACTCTATGTTTTAAAATAATTCTTGAAGTTTTATATATTTAGATCTTTAGTGGACTTGCGGTGGGAGGCAGGGGTCCAGGTCTGTGCTTATTCCTCATCGTTGGCTGGTCATCCCAATGTTACTTGGATGATTCTCCTTTCCCCACTGATTTAAAATGGCAGCTAGTGATTATTGCTGGGGAATAGGAAGGATGCCAGTTTTTGAACGTTAATTTAGACTTGGCTAACTTGCAAACTCTTATTAGTTTGGATTATTTATCAGTCACTTTTCTTGGGTGTTCTAGGTAGATCACATTACTTGCAAAGTTTGTTATCCTGTTTCTTTACTGTCAATATGCCTATTGTTTCTTTTTCCTTTTTTCTTATTGCAGTAAGTATAACTACTGGTACAATGTTGAGTAAAAGAGTGATATGGGGGGGCAGCTGAGTGGCTCAGTTGGTTAAGAGCACAAACTCTGAGCAACAGAGTCATCAGTTTGGTTCCCACATGGGCCAGTGAGCTGCGTCTGAGCTGNTTTTCGTACAGTGCTGAATTCAAGTTAAAAGTGATCCAGTTTGCAAAAGTGAATGGAAATCGTGCTGCTGAACGTAAGTTTGGTCCTCCTCTAACTGAGAAAACAATCTGAGACTGGCTATAGGAAGAAGAAACCCTACTGAAAATGCCACGGCAGAAGAAGGCCATGAGAGGCAAGTCAGCAAAATGGCCAGATTTAGAGAGGGAATTGAAGATATGGATTAAAGAACAAAGGGCAATTGAAATTTCTGTGTCCATGAAGATGGTTCAGCATGAGGCAAGAAGAACTGCTGATGAAAAAGAAGTTACTGATTTCAAAGGAGGACACAATTGGTGCTTCAGGTTCATGATATGGAATGGACTAAGCATGCATACACGCACCCGACTTGCCCAAAAGATGCCTGAAAGCTATGAGCAGAAGGTCCTTGAATTTTGTCTTTTTGTCATTCAGTGTCGGAAGACACATCAGTTTGAGTTGGGACAGATTGCAAATATGAACGAAGTCCCCCTTTAATTTGATGTCCCAAGTAACAGAACTGTTGATAAAAAGGGGGTGAAAACTGTAACTGTGAAGACAAGTGGAGATGAAAAGAGCCATTATACAGTTGTTCTAGATTGTTGTGCCGACGGAACCAAGCTGCCTCCTATGCTGATTTTCAAAGGCAAAACAATGCCAAAAGAAGACATTCCTCGAGGAGTGATTGTCCACATTCATGACAAGGGTTGGATGGATCAGGATGGGATGAAGATCTGGTGTGAGAAAGTTTGGAGCAGGAAACCAGGTGGGCTCTTACGCAAACCTGCCCTATTGGTACTCGATCAGTTCAGGGCACACATAGCAAAAAACACAAAGAAGATTGCTGCAGAGCAAAAAACAAAACCTGCCGTCATACCTGGAGGCTTGATATCCCAGCTCCAGCCACTTGATGTCAGCATTAACAAACCCTTCAAAGCTGCCATGAGAGACNCTTAGGCCTCACTCCATTTCTTGAAGATTGTGCAAAAGAACTCCTACTCCCATTTTGATGAGCGCTGAGTCTTCCTTATTTCCCCAGTCACCTTGACATTTCATAGGTTCCTCCTGGAGACAACAGCCCCATTTTTTATATGCACTTCAGGGACAGCCTTTAATGAGATGTGTAGGCCAGGCTGGGGGGCTGGGGCACGTGAGGACCCAGGAAATGGTGTAATGAATGCACTTCTTCCAAAGTCCCCAAAATGACTTGCAAAAGGCTGTCCCCTCCAGAAGGGCTGTTGCTACTCTCTTCACTCATCTTGGCCACTCTATGACTTTTTGGCATGTCCTGAGACCAAGGTCAGCAGCTCAGTGCTTTATTGATGATTAGAACCAGGTCCCTGGATAACCTGCTGTGGCATGGCCTCTCTGGGGACTCTGCAGCCCTCCTCCATCGTCTGAAGACTCTGTACCTGGTGTGGGGGACACAGGAGGAGGCAGCTGTGTGCAGAGGGCCCCTGTGCCAGGAGATAGGGGCTGAGGCTTGAGCAGCAGATGTGTTTTGCTGACTGATCGTTGCACCTAGAGAAAGCATTGGGCAAGCTGCCAGCCCTGACTGCCTCCACACCCACTGTTATACTGAGCAGGGAGATCCCCCCCTAAAATCCTCCTGATGAAAACTCCCTTGCTGCCTTGCTCCCTTGCCCCCATTGTTGACCTCTTGTGGGCTCAACTTCCCCGGCATGTGGGCACCAACATTCACCCTGCTCGGGGACCCTCCCCTCCTGTTGTACCCCTTCTCAGGAGCCCAATGTTCAATCATCTGACACTGGAGTCTGCCCCCTCACTAACTTAATTTGACTGACAGCCCCCACTTATGTGAGAAGACCACAGGGGCTGTCCCCTAGTGTCCCCAGCTTTAGGGCAGCCAATGTGCTGCAAAGTGGGGCCCTCTTTGGGGTGTGCAACATGCTCCCGCACCTGCCTTAAATTGTCCTACCTGTGCCTTGGGGGGAATGCCAGGCCAGAAGTTCAGGACCTGTTAAAGACCCACATGTGAAATGTCAGTTCCCAAGCCTGATATTGGCTGCCTTTTTACCTTGTAAAAATTGGGGTGAGGGGTCTGAAATTGTGGTGACATTTTAAACAGACTACCTCCCAGTACAGGATGGAAACTTTTGGCTCAAAATACCGGTCCATGTTGGCTCCAGCAGCTGGACCTTCCAGTTTTGGAACCCGCTCACTCCAGACACCTCACAGTATTATCCAACCAGCTCTGCTTCTGAGGGTCCACTGGGCCAGTCATCACTCCCATGCTGCTTGGATGTATGTGGTTGACATTATACAGCTGAAGACTCAACTACCTATAATCTCTTGGGACTATGAAGTGTTGGACATTTTACTCAAAGCTAACAAACATGGTCCCTAGGTAGGTGTTCTCTCACTTACCATGTACACCTGTCTATTTGGGCTTGTATATTTTTTCATGTAATGTTGCACCCATTTAACTGATGGCTGTCTTCCTCACTGAGGCCCTCAGAACAATCACAGATACTTCTGGGGAGACTGACAAAGTGGCAATTTTGTGCTTATGATTACTCTTTGGTTCCCAAGACTAATCATGTGAATTCTAAAAGCCAACAACCCTCCCTCCCTCAAGGCCTTTGGTATTACTAAAAAGCCCAAAGGACAGCAGCCATCAGTTAAAAAGACAGGTAAGTTGAAATTAGAAAGGTGAACACATACCCAATCCATCCTGTTGTGGGCCTTTAAGTGCTTGAAGGATTTAAGAAGAAGAAGAAAAAAAAGTAGTTCTTTATGGGTTATAAGCTAAAAAGGGACAGTTTGCACAATTTGGACAAAATAGAAGTACTCTTACCAATAAATATGTTTCAAAATGACAAATAAAGCTCTCTCCATTTGATGGCTCTGGATCCCAGCAAGAGGTGATGGGCACAGGCACAATGAGCTATGTACAGAGTGTAAACAGTAAGGCCCCTGGGGGACGTAATGAAGGCAGGGCCAGGTGATGCTGTGTGCATGGAGGATCATCTGTACCGGGGAGTGGGCCAAGGGTAAATACAACAGGCTTGTAGGAGGGTCATCCAATCCGCCACCAAAGCTTATGGGAGGCGGTGGCAGGCCCTCTGGGTTCCTCCAGTTGGCAGTAAGGAGAAATTAGGTTCACTGGGAAGCTCTAGTCCCAATGACTTTTTCCGAAGGAGGCAGCCATGCAGGGCCTCTAAGCCCTTTCCTCTCCGAGAGGAGGGGCAGGCCTGCCTCGGCCATACTTGTGGCTGTCTACCCAGGGTCCAGGGAAAGGCTGGGGCAGTGTTTCTCAAACAGGGATTGTGAGCAAACCGCCCCACGTAGTCTGCAGCCCCTCCCTCAGAAAGGAGGAGCTCCCGGCATCTGTGTCCAAGAGGGGGCCCATAACTTTCTATGCTTCCAGGGCGGTCTCGCCTCAGTTTCTCGGGGCTGCCAGTTTCGAGTTCCTGACCTGCACTGGCTTCTTGAACAAAGCCAGCCTCCTTTCCACGTCCTCATCCTCACCCCATTTGATCCCCCTCCTCCAGCACACCCCAGCCTAGCTCGGGGATCCTTAAATATCAGTCTCCCGGAGGTCGCTGTAGTCCGCCAGTTCGTAGGCCTGGCAGGTGGCGCCCTCGGCCACGTCGTGGGGGACGCCTAGGGACACAGCCTCCACCTCCGAGCGCAGGGTGCACGCGGCTTCTGAGCGCTGCGCGCCCCCGGCGCGGATCTTGTGCGACAGGCTGGAGACCTTGGCACGCAGCTGGGTGGTGGGTCTCCGGAACGGCCCCAGCAGCCTCCACTCGCGGAAGGCGGAAGGTGGCTTTCGGCGGCCGGCGACCGGAGCTTGCACCTCGGGCGTGCCTGGAGGGCTTGGGGCCGAGGGTGCGGTGAGGGCCAGCGGGGCCCCAGGGGGTGCGGCGCCAGGGCCGGGGGCGCAGTCGAGGCGCGGGCCTCCAGTCGAGGCCCGCCAGTGGTGGCCATAGACGCGCCAGAGGGGGCGGCGGCGCCGGCGACGCCTGCACTGGCAGCGCAGGAGGCGCAGGAAGGCACGCTTGAACTCGCGGCTGGAGCAGGGGTAGATGAGTGGGTTCACGCAGCTGTTGAAGTAGCCGAGCCAGAAGATCACCTTGAAGACGTTCTCTGAGGGCTTCAGCTGCGGGAACAGGGAGCCTACGGGAAGCAGAAACCTACGTGGATTAGATGGTCTGGGAGGAGGAGGCCCAGGCAGCCCCTGGGTGCAAAGGGGGCGATCCTCCCCGCCCTCCATGGACTGTGGCTGAGTTATCAACTGGAGGCTCTCAAGGTATCTCTCTTCAAGGGGTCCCTGATATAATTTGATGGGGTCCATGAACTTGGATGGGGAAAAAGAGTCATCTTCAGTTTTACTTACATCTACCTGAAATTGAGTATTTCCCTCAATGATGAGGGTAGGCAACAAACCAGAGTAGAATTAGGCAAAACCATATGAAACCACCGTTTTTGTCGCTCAAAATTGGTGCAATATTAGCAGTTTCGTAAGGTTCAACCTAGTATTAGCAGGTCCTGTAGCTAGTTTTCGATCACATTCAGTTGTTGCAGATGTTGCAAAATATTGTCTATGCTCCTCACAGATGGTCACTAGAACGCACCATGAGATCTTATTTCATGCCTTAATGTAGAAGCACATTTGTTACTAAATCATAAACTTCATTTAAAAAATATTTTGACAAAGAGTTTCAATGAAATAGGTTTCAGTTGCAGTCCTTTGTATTTTATTTTGTGCATTTGAAAGTGTGACTCTGAAATGGGATCCTAAGTAGGTCCCTAGCACAAAAAGGGATAAGGATTGCTAAAAGTTGAGCACTGCGCTGGGCTCACATCAAACAGCCCTGCTCCCTTGCTAGCAATGTGGATCAAATATCATGGGAACGCGGGTGGGGTGATGGTGGTGTGCAGCATGTGGAGTGGGGGAGTTTCCAGGGGTCTCAGAGGATGGACAGGAGCCAGCTAAGATGAGAGGCAGAGGGTTTTAGGAGTGGAAGTGACAGAGGGACAATAGGATCACAAGTCTGGGGCCTGGAAGTGTCATATAGGATACGCTCAGAAAACTCCATTGGGACAGATGGTGAAGGGCCATACATTCTGGGAAGTTCGGCTTTTATTCTGTGGGCAGTTAGGAGCCAAGGATATTTTTAAGTAGGAGACAGCGCTAGGGCCTAGAATTAAGCCTCAATAAACACCATGTCCATGGCTGTCGGAATGCAGGACAGTGGGGATTCTCAGTGGAAGTGGTCAGGAAAGGCGTCTGGGATGGCTTTAGGGAGCAGCGCCAGGCAGGAAGGGGTGTGTGTGGGGGGGACTGGGATCTGGGCTGTGCCAGGAAGACCTTCCTCCCCACAAACCTCTCCCCTGGCATCTCCACCATGAACTGGAAAGGAATCATGTCTCCAAAAGCACCTGACAAAACACAAAGGCGTGATTTAGGAAGCGGAGGTCATCTCTTCTCATTCATCCTCAGCAGCAGCAGGGGTAGAGGGTAGGTGGTAGGGAGTGTCCCAAGCTGGGCAAAAGCTGCAAGTGCCTGAGAGGCTGAGCAGGCCAAACTTGGGGTCCTTGGCAAATCATGGGACCTGTTCTTTCTCCCCTTGCCCCAAAAGAAATGAGTGGGGTCCCCTAACTGAGGGGGCAGAGGAAGCATGCCCCCCCTCTTCGACCTGGGGACCCTTGCATATCACCCATCTCCCCCTATATAGAGAATTCCTGGTGCTAAGAGACACCATGGAGAAAGAGGAAGGTCACAGAACGTTGTGCGGCACAAGTCTTTCAAACCTGGGTCACGCAGCCCTGAACAAGTTATTTTGCCGGACATCTACGTCTCACTTTTCTGTGACATACAATAATATTTCTCTGGCAGGGATTTTGTAAAGATTCATAAATTTCAGGGCCTAGTGCTTAACAGGTTCTTAATACTGCTGCCTATTCACTCCCCCTCTCCCTATTTCTGTGGCCTTTGAGAGAGGGGCCTCCTACCTGGAAGGGAACTACTTCCCAGCTCTGGAGAGTGGCCAGAGACAGAAGCAGAGACGTGGTGGGTTTGGGGGAGGCTGGGACATCAGTTAGGGTGTGCTGTTGAGGAGATGAAATCCCCTGAGAGAGGCAGTTGTCCCTGGAATGTGGGGGCCACCAGGGTTGACCTCAGCCTCCAGGAAGGCGGCCTTCTGAATAGCATCCCTCAACGGCTGCAACGTAAGACAGAGTGCTGAAAATAACTTTCTGACTCAGGCCACAGTTTTTTATATTTAGCCCAAATGACAAATCAGTGGACTATGCTTTCAGCGACGAGCCTGAAGCCGGCCAAAGAGCACTGTTATCAGCATGGTTTTGATTCAGATTGGTGGGCGACGTAGCGCATGGTATGGTCTAGGCCTTGTTGTAAATATTAATATTCTTATGCTCAACCAACCTGTTTGGAAGCCTGCTGCCAGCTGGGAATCCCTTACACACAAAGGAGCTGGGATTCAAACAGCCTTTCAGCCCCCAGATTTTCCTACTGTGTCCTGCTGATGTTCTGTTTTACTTTGGGCTCCCCCAGAAGCCGACCCTGAGACAAGGATTCAAGTACAAATTGTTAATTTGGGAAGTAAGTAAAATACCAGTAGTGGAGTGGGAGAAAGAGACAGGGAAGAGAAGGAAGCCAAAAAATGGTGTGTTATGGAGTTGTCACCACTGTGGATAACTGGGGCTTAATCCCCCCCCCGCCCCCTGGGGGAGCTCTGGGAGACAGTGGGGAACAGGAGCCTCAGAGTAATCTGCTCCCTAGTGGGGTGAGGGAGGTGGCATAGCTATATACCCACTCCCATCAGTCATTAATTTTCCACACCTCCTGCCTGCTGCATGGGTAGACAAGGAGGACTTTGGTGGGCAGAGAAAGCCCCTTGGGCAAAGTGACAAAGGCAGGTGCTCAGATGGAAGTTAGCCCACTAGTACACTAAGGGAGACGGGTGAGGCACCAACAGCATCTGCCACAACTTTGTTTCATTTGCTCTCTGCCCACGGCGCAGACATCTTGCCTGGAAAATACAGACGTCTGTGCCTTGGGCTCCAGCTTCCAAGCAGCAGCTCCCAAGAGACTTTTCCTGTTCCTTTCATAGATGGCAGTTCTAAGCCTCATACCTACCTCTTTCCAGAGTGTTGCAGTCTTCCCCTGCGTCTCCCTGCACCCTGCCTCCCTCTCCCTGCAACTCCCTGTCCCCCATCCTACAACATTCTCTCATTGCCCCACAGCTTCTTGCAAGGATCTCTGGGGGTAGGGGAGGGGGGGTCGGGGGGGGGCCGCTCAGGTGAGCCGGGGCGGGGCCTCGAGATTTACCTGGGCTACTGGGTGGAGTAGGGGAGGGGGGGTCGGGGGGGGTTTGCAGGTGGGCAGTTCCCTCCCTTTGATGTCATGGATGAGGTGGGCAACTGCCCCGAGACCCCTGAGGATGGGCACTTGGCTCACGGGCATTGTCCCTGCAATGCTGCCCTGCTGTGGGGGCATCAGTGGACAAGCTCCATCTCAGCCACTCCTACCTTTCTCCTCCCCCAACCACTGAGTTATGGCTACTCCGGCCAGACAGCTGCCTTGCCTCTGCATCCCTCCGCAGCTGCCCAGCACACACCTCTGTCAGCTCCTGTAGCCCAGATACAGGAAAGCCTCAATGGGCAGCTGGGTCTCTGAGACAAAGCCACTCTCTCTCAGTTCCTAGCACCCCCTTTTCTGCCCGGAGCTGGCTCCCTCTCCCACTCCCCATACTGCCCATGGCCTTTCTCCCAGCTGTGCTAACTCACCTTGGCAGCTGTCATGGGAACCAGAGGCTCTCACGGGAAGCTCTCCCTCAGCCTCTCACCTCTTCACCTCTGCACTCTCCTTTCTCTTGTGGTTCTTACTTCTCTCCATAGTCTTACTTCTGTCTTCATGTGGATCGGTTAAATGGCCACTGACTTCTTGCTGCCATCTGGCCCCAGCAGGCTCCTGAGTCTTGCCTTTGGGCTTTTGCACGTGATCATTCTGGATGCCCTTCCTTTTCCCTTCCTCCAGTGGCACCTCCTCCTGGAAGCCTTCCTCACACCACCCCCTCCTGACCCAGCAGTGAGTTGTATTCCCCGCCCCCCCAGCACATCTACTCACTTCTACGTGCCAAGAACACTGCACGTAACTATTGGTTTCATGTCTATCTTATCCTTAAATGTTGGCTTCCCACACCATGCTTGGCACCTTGTAGGCGCTTGATAAATTCTGACCCCTCTCTTTCTATTGCAGCCTGCATCCCATCAGCACCAACTTCTTTTGGCCCTAGAATCTCCCCTCTTTGCACCACCCCGTTACCACCCTGCTCCCAGCTACCATCATCTACCTGCAGTATCCTTCCAAGTGGGCGCCTGTTCCTGTGCCCCCGAACTTTGCTCTCCACACAGTAGCTGGGAGAGTCTTTTAAAACATACACCTGAGCATTTTATGTCTTTACTAAGAACCCATTTCCACTGCTGACTGCAGCCTCCTCTCCTCTGTCTCATCTGTACTCTGATCTTCTGCCAGCCCCTTTGTTTTCTCCCTTCATTTCCTGTTTGCCTCTTTCTCAGCTTAGCTGAGACTCCAACTCGCTCCCACCTCAGCCCATTCTCAACCCTCCCACATCCACATCCTTCTGCATTGGGGTTGTACTTCTCCAGCCAGATCCACCCACTCCCTGAACACGTTTAGGGTCCCTGACCTCAGTTCAGTGACCAGGGTTTCCAGCAGTCTCGCCGTCTCTCACCTATTCCTGCACCAGCTTCTTTGAGCCTTGACTCCTTTCTACAAGCCTTGCAGCCTCCCCTTCACCTTTTCCAGAGCAGTTAACCTCACTTCCTGTTTCGTGGAGAAAACAGAAGCCAGAGCAGTTGCCAGGGACTTGCTCAAACCTTCCTCACTTCTCTTCTTGCTTGGTAAGAAAAGAGTCTCTCCTCCCATGCAAGGTCAGTGTCCCTATTTGTGAGGTGGAACCCGTGAGCTTGCCTCTGTCACAGCTGCACCCTCATTTTCTTCATCCTTTTCATCCACACCAGCTGTCTCCTTTTCCCTATCTGCTTTGCCCCGTAGCCCATCCCACCTGGGCCACCAACCTATGGGCACTGCTCTTGTCCATCCTGGACACCTGTCACCTCACTATGGC